GAGAGAGAGTGGGGGGGACAGAGAGAGAGTGGGGGGGACAGAGAGAGAGTGGGGGGGCAGAGAGAGAGTGGGGGGGGTAGAAAGAGAGAGAGTGGGGGGGACAGAGAGAGAGTGGGGGAGTAGAGAGAGAGAGAGTGGGGGGACAGAGAGAGAGTGGGGGGGACAGAGAGAGAGTGTGGGGGGTAGAGAGAGAGAGAGTGGGGGAGTAGGGTAGAGAGAGAGAGTGGGGGGGAGAGAGAGAGAGTGGGGGGGACAGAGAGAGAGTGGGGGAGTAGAGAGAGAGAGTGGGGGGGCGCAGACTGTTGACTTGTGTAGCGATGGTCAGAGAAATGAAATGTGAATATAATATATAATTCTGGTATTTGGTGTCGCGACTTTCACGTCGAGAGAAACATCTCAGAGCGCAACACCGACAGTGACCGGTCCGTGTTGGCAAATTATACACATTTAGATACTGTCATAATATGTATATATATATATGTGTTATGTTATATTTTCGGTAAATATGTGGATATGATTGAGTTCTGTTCAGTTGGGCTGAAATTTATTGAGAGAGAGAGAAGGGGAGCGAGAGAGAGGAGAGAGAGGGCAAGAGGTGGGGGACCGGGGCTGGGGGGAGCAGGGAGGGGCAGGGGGTGGGGGGAGCAGGGAGGGGGCAGGGGGTGGGGGGAGCAGGGAGGGGGCAGGGGGTGGGGGGAGCAGGGAGGGGGCAGGGGGTGGGGGGGCAGGGGGTGTGGGGAGCAAGAATGGGGGTGGGGGGGCAGGGAGTGGGGGGAGCGGGGAAGGGGGCAGGGGGTGGGGGGGACCAGGAAGAGGGTAGGGGGCAGAGGTTGAGGGGCAGCAGGGAGGGGATGGGGGGGCAGAGAATGGGGGGGAGCAGGGGGTGGGGGGCAGGGAGTGGGGGGCAGGGAGTGGGGGGAGCAGGGAGTGGGGGGCCCGGGGGTGGGGGCAGGAGGTGACGGGTGGGGGGAGAAGGGATGGTGTGGGGGGTGGGGGGTAGGGGGTGGGGGGCAGGGGGGTGGTCAGGGGGTGGGGGGGAAGCAGTCTGCAGTTGTGCCTCTCTCCTGATCAGATGGACTGTGGCGTTGAGGTCAGAGGCCTTTCACGGTGACCCTTTCTCAACCATTTGAATAAACCAAAGCTCAAGAAATCCTTCTGCTCTTTGTCTCTCCTTTCTTTTTGATTCCTGTAATCCTTTGTGCCTTTGCCCAGGGAATGAGCTGAGCATCTTTCAGATTCCCGGCCTGGCAGATTTATAAAGTATATATAGGTGGTATATATTGTATATTGTATTATATATAAAACTATAGTATATAAAACTGACACAACCTCAGTTAAGAATCGAAAAATCCAGAGATTAATTTTTTTTACGCTTTCTTGAAGCGTTTATTTTTCCATTTCCTTGAAACAAAAATGTTTTACTTCCCCTTCTCTCCCCCCCACCCCTTCCTTCTCCCAAAAGATTGGGCGCAATCTCTGTTTTTTTGCACCTCGTGTTGATAAGTGCGAAAGTGTTTTTATTTTAACAGGGAATGAGAAGGATGGGGGAGAAAGCAAATCAACTTTGCAGATTTCACCACTTTTTGGAGGTGAATTCACTGCCAAATGTTGATGAGATGAATTCTGGATGTTAGGAAAAAAACGCTCTGAGCATTAAGTGGTAATATCTCTCAGGCTGTAATGAATGATGGATTTTGCCAGGAGGATACGCAGTGATATGAAGGGACAATGACCAACACAAAGATATTCTTCTTTTCTTCTTTTCCCCGCATTCACCGGTTTTAAATGACAATGCCTCATGTTTTAGTAATAACCTTTGAAAGGATTTTACAATGTCTTGGTTTTTAATACTTGATTATTTCTGCTTCGTTGAACACAGTTGCTATTTTTTTCTTTAAACTACTGATTTTTTTTTAAAAAAAGCGCGGGGAAGATGGGTTGGAATGGGAGGGAATGAAACCTCTTGTTATTGTGATCATTTGCTCTTCTGTATGAGTGCAAAGGTAGAATTATCCTTTTCCATTTGCTGTGTATTTAGAGAAAGGAGTTTCTCCTGGTTTCCTGACAATCCAACAATTCCCCCCATTGAAATTGGTCATTTCCTGCACGGCTGTTTGTGGGATATTGCTGTGTCCAAATTGGCTGTCAAATTGGCCTAAAAAAATTGGCAGTCACTTCACTTGATACTATCACCCGCGATGCGCTTTGAGACGTTTTCCCGATGTTAAAAGTGCTTCCCCAAGTGCCAGCATTCGCATTACCGAGAGGAGGCGGTTCAGTCCATGGTGTCTGTCTGCTTTGATCCGAACTCGGAGAAAGAGACTTGCAGATGTACCCAGGCATTGAATTCCCTCTCCCTCCCTCCCTCCCTCTGTCTCACTCTCTCTCGCTATCTCTCTCTTCCTCTTTCTGTCACTCTCACTCTCTCTCTTCTCTCTCTCTGATAATAGCATTATTTTGGCAGCACTTTGTGCAAACCCGGTCACTGGGGTCCGTCTCCTCAGGGAGTCGGGGGTTTTACCTGAAGGGACCAGTTTGGGTTCCTGGAGACTGGACATTAAAATGCTGCAATAAAAACCAGCATAACTTCCAAAGTACCTGAGCATTTACCCCCCACCCCCACTTACTCCCTCCAAGCCCTCCCTATTGCACCCCTCCCCCCCACCTCTGCCCCCACCCCCACCTGCTCTTCTTCCCCAAGGTTTCCAATAGTCTTTCTCTGTAAAGGACAGCTGGGTATCAACACTGACTCTCCCCCCCTCTTGTCACCCCCCACCCCCCCCCCCCCCCCCCCCCCATTGCTTCCTCTATTGTGACTGAAGCTGGAGATGTACAATGTGTTGGGGGGGAAGAGACATCACCTGCTCTCAGGGGAGACAATGATAAGACACGACTGTCAGTATTTTATAGGCGATTTAGCTTTAGACCTCAGGCCATGTCCAACAGCAAATACAGGTTTATTATATATATTTCTATATATTTTATATAGCCCTCACTGGAGTAATCCTCTCTATTGGATCCCCCCCCCCAAAAAAAAATTTCTGTTTAAAAAGAAATTGATTTCGTCGGGGTTGAAAACAATGAATAAATGTATGAAAAGAAAGAGGTAAAATGTGTCTATGAGATCCTTCAACTCAGTAATCTAGTTAAACTAGGGTTTGACTCTTAACGCAGTTGGGGGCTATTTTACCATGATTCGCTCAACCCCCACTCATTCACACACTCCCTCACACACACACACACATTCCCGTCGTGAAGGTAATACAGAAACATGGAGAAATATTATTGTGGAAGGTGAAACAGAATAAAAGGGCTTCAAATCTCTCTGTATTTCACAATTTCACACTTCCAGTTGCTCTATGTTTACAAGAAGGTGCATATAACTCTGTGAAATCATTTTTGTTTTACAACCAAAAAACAGTTGTCTTGTATTTATAAAGGGGAAAAAAATATTCCAAAACGCCTTCAGGTTGGAAATCAGCTCTGGGTGTGTCTGCCCTGGCGGTGGGGGGGTCCAGACAGCTTTTTTTCCTTTCTTTTGCCCATCGTATAATAGGGAGGTCCACATTTAAATAAACTCAAGAGTCTCAGGCCTGAGGTCTGTGTATTTTTGGAGAGCTGGTAAATGTGACAAATCAGGTCTGAACTTAAAATTGGATTGAAGGATTCCCCCCCCCCCCACTCCAAAAAAATAAAATAAATGTTTGACAAAATCTTTACGTTTTAAGGCCGTGGTCTTAAGGCTATGACCCTTGGAAATTTGGGGCCTCGGGTTTCGGGAGTGAGGTGAACAGATCTCTTGGCTTTGCAAGATTTTAAGACTTATTTTTTGAGGAATTATCTTCCTAATGCTGAGTGCCTTTCATGTCAGAAAGACATCTCCAAGCACTAAAAGGCTGAACTGAGAGAGCGACGAGAATCAATAGCTTGAAAAGATAAGGCGCTGTTTCATGGCTTCATTCGATGTTGTATTTTGGAGGCAGATATTCTCCGCCTACAAAATACAGTCACTACACTTTACCGTGTGGTTGGAGACGTCCTGAACCTAAGGCGTGAAATCCAAATGCAAACGATTATTTTTTGTTATCAATGAAATCAAAAAAATGCCTTTTTGTTTTTTAAAACAGTTTCAACAAATAGAATACAAATTAACGTTCACGGGGGGGACAGGGGGACATGAGGGGAGAGGGGACGCGGGGGAGGGGGAGAGCGAGGGGGCGAGGGGAGAGGCAGGTGGGGGCGAGGGTAACCGGGGGAGAGAGGAAGGGGAGAGTGTGAGATAAATGGAAACATGGGGAAGGTTCTCATCCCCACTTGAGAGCCTTTGTGTCCGTCTTGTCGTGTGTTTTCCTGAACACGGCCGAGAGCAGAGGTTTTCAGTCACAGGAAGCAGAGTTCACACACAGGCAATTTTAAAGCAATTCTGCCAGGATTTGACTGCTCTTTAACTACCGCGTGTGTGTGAGTGTGTGTCTGTGTGTGTGTCTGTGTGTGTGTGTAGAGGGGGGTAAACGTGGCATCCTGAGTGGTCTGAAGGTCTGAAGGGGAGAGGGCTAGTTAGGTACAAGTCCTGCAGATGAGTCCAGCTGTAATTGCTTGACGGCTCTTGAAATGGGGCAAAGTGGGAACAGCCCGGGTCGGGGGTAGCGGCTGCTGTTCGTGCATCATTTACAAACAAGTCTGCCGCGTTTTGCCCACAAAATATATGGTCAATTCACTTTACAGTATATTCTGTGAAGTGTTTTGAGACGTCTCGAAGACACACACACACACACACACAAAGACGCACAAACAGGCAGACAGACATATACACAGATACAGACACAGACACACATACGCACAGATACAGACAGACACAGACACACATGGACAAAACATCCTTCAAATTTCTTTCCAGCTCTGTTTTTTACCCCGAAGTTACAATGTCCCTTCTCTCTCTCACTCTCTCTCGCTCTCTGTCTCTCTCTCTCTCTCTCTCTGTGTCTCTCTCTCCCCTACAGAAGAGCAAGCTGCAGGCGTCCCCACACCAGGCAGACGAGCAGGAATCCACCAAGTTTATTGTCTTAACCATCATCTCAATCCTGTGCATCATTGGGGTCCTGGTGGCATCAGGCATCGTCTACTGTGTGAGGCACAGCCCCCACCACAGCCTGAAACACAAGCTGAGCTCACTGGGAGCTGAGCCCAACACCAGCTCAGATGCCACTACAGCCTATCAGGTACAGTGACCTCCTCACTGGGATTACTTTATACAGGAGGGAGAGGACGTTTATAACCTGCACCAGAGAATAAACAACATGGAATGGGGGGGAGGGGGAGAGGGTACGATATCAAATTGCTAATAATAATCGTCCTTACGTGGTGTCCTGTAGCTCTCAGTGGTTAGAGCACTCGCCTCGCAAGCGAGAGACCTGAGTTTGATTCCCACCTACACGTGGAGATGCTAATTATTTCTCAAGGTGCTGCTGATTATTATTGCTCAGAGGCACCAGAATTGCGAATGGAAGTGCAATAACGAGTCCAAAAAAGGTCTCAGCTTTTTTTTTGTGGTTGTGCTCACTCTCTTTCACTCTCTCTCTGTTTCTGTCACTCTCTCTGTCTCTTTCTCCCTCTCTGTCTCTCTCTGTCTCTCTCACTCTCCCCCCTCTCTCTGATTCTGTCTTCCTCTCCCTCGCTCTGTCGCTCTCACACTCTCTCTTTCTCTATTATTTATTTATTATTTTTGTTTATTTTTAAATCAATAAATGGAGAGGATTCTACGTGAAGACTGATTCCAAGAAATTCCACATCGTCTGACATATTGAGGCCACGTTCTTAAGGCTAACGAGATAAAACCATGATTCGCACATCATAAATTTTACTTTTACGACTTCTGAGGTCCCTCAAGACTATCTTTACTGCTGTAGTTTCAGATACCTGACCCCATCGCCCCCTCGCCCACCCACCACCCACCCACCCACCCACCCACAGCCCCCCCAATCTCGGGCTCGCAGCCAGTCGTGTGAATCCCTTTCAGACGTCCTCCCGATGTTATATAAATGTAAATGTAGTTGAGACGAGACAGATGCTTTACTGTGGTTTGTGCAGCCGCACACACACTCCTGTGGAAGCTGGGATTATCCTGACCAGCATTGTTGTCTTATGACAGTGTTAATGATTTGTCCTAGTAATTAACCGTCTTTTTCTTTTCACCACCGGTACAATTGTTGACGTTTCTGTCGACGACCTTTTTGCTATTCCTCCTGAGGGTCTGGCGGTTAAGTCCATATTGATTTTATAATGAGCTGAAGTTGAGTTAATAAGGAAGCAGGGCTTATATTTACAGGGTGAATGACAGCTACAGGGGAAAGGAAACGGCTGGCTGGGCTGGGAGAAGTGTAGAGGCCTGAGACATCGGCGTTTAAAAAGGAGTGACATTGAAGGGGACTTGATTCATAACAGTGATAATCCTTGTGCCTATCATGTCGGGGGGAATGTCTCAAACCCCTTTACGGCGTTATAATAATAATATTATAATATAACAATAATAATATAATAATGATATAACAATAATATAATACAATAATGTAATAATAATAATCCTTGTGTTTGATATAGAGCCTTTTCACATTCTTGAGAATATACTGCTAAGTGTAGTGACTATATATTTTGTGGGCAAAACACGGCAGACAATTGCGCACAGCAACGTCCCACAAACATTCGTGGATTAAGTGACCAAATTATTGTTTTTTTAAGGGATTATTGACCCCAGAAAAACGATCCGCCAATTGACTAACAGACTACTTCTGCTGTTAAATAGAGGTGTGTGGTGTAAGGAAACTTGCCCAATGTTTCACCCTGCCCAGGAATCAAACCCAGGTCTCTAGCTTGCCAGGCGAGGGCTCTAACCACTGAGCTGTAGGATTCCTGTAAGCTCGGACACCGGAAGAAACTAACTACCTTCGAAATGTTTCATCGGGATCTTTAACGTCCACCTGAACAGCCAGGAGTGACCTCAGTTCAATGTATCATCCAAAGGACGGTGCCTCCCCTCGCTGTATTGTTGGAGATGCCGTCCTTCACATCAGATATTAAACTGAGGCCCGTCTGCTTGATAAAAATCAACTTCAACAGGCAGACAGGTCGCTTTCAAATCCCTTCATGCCCTGGCACCTCCCTTCCTCTCCGACCTGCTTACCCCCCAATTCCATACTCGCTGCCTCTGCTCAACTGGCTCCAGCCTCCTGATTGTCCCTCACATCCTCCGTTCCACCATTGTTGTCTGCACTTTCAGCCTCTACGCCCGAAACTCTGGAACTCTCTCCCTCTATCCCTCCATTTTTTTCCCCTCCTTCCCCATCTTCAGGTCAAGCCTTAAGACCTTCCTCTTTGACCAGTGCCGACAGTCACCTCCCCCTCCTCCCGGCTCAGCATCGTGCTCCGCCACTGTCAAGCGCTTTGGGACGCTGCCCTGTGTGAGGGGGCGCTGTGTAACTGCAAGTATTGCTGTTAAAGATCTCGTTGCACTATTCCAAAAGAGAAGGGGCTTCTCCCTTCTTTACCAACCAGGTTCATACTCACTGCTGCGTAAACCCATGGAAATCTCATTTTGGTTTGGATAACCTTAAACATGGTGATGGATTTCCACCTGGTTGAACCTCAAAAATACGGCGTGAGGAAACTTGCCTAAGGTTTCATCCCGCCTGGGAATCCAACCCAGCTTATGAGGCGAGTTCTCTAACCACTGAGCTACAGGACTCCACAATCAGTGAATGTGTTGTAATCTGTCTGTTGTTAAACGGTGGCTTAAAGTTCGATGTTTGAGTTGTTCAGGGCTGTTGGTGTTGCTGTTGTTGGTGTTGCTGTTGGTGTTGTTGTTGCTGTTGGTTTTGTTGTTGCTGTTGGTTTTGTTGTTGGTGGTGGTGTTGCTGTTGGTGTTGCTGTTGGTGTTGCTGTTGGTGTTGGTGTTGCTGTTGGTGTTGGTGTTACTGTTGGTGTTACTGTTGGTGTTGCTGTTGGTGCTGTTGGTGTTGCTGTTGGTGTTTTTGTTGCTGCTGTTGGTGTTGCTGTTGGTGTTGCTGTTGCTGTTGGTGTTGCTGTTGGTGTTGGAGCTGCGGGCAGGGCTGGCTCTGACCACTGCCGTCCTGACAAGGACCCTGATTGATCTCTGTCCTGTTTGTGCTCCAGGAGTTGTGCCGCCAGAGAATGTCCGTCAAGTCCTCGGAGCGACCGGAGCCGGTGCACGGAGCCTCTCGTGTCAGCAGCGTCTCCTCACAGTTCAGTGACGGGCCCCAGCCCAGCCCCTCCACACGCAGCAGCACATCCTCCTGGTGTGAGGAGCCCGTCCAGTCCAACATGGACATCTCCACCGGCCACATGATCCTGGTAATGACCCTCTATCTCCCTTACACTTACTGCATGTTTCACCCACAAAACACACAGTCACTACACTTTATAGTGTATCCTGTGAAGCTCTTTGAGACGTTTCGACACCCTGATAAGGCGCTGTATCGAATAAGATTATTATTATTGGCGCCCACCGAAACACCAAAAGAAACGGTGAGTGTGAATAATAATAATAATCCTTGCATTTGATATAGTTCCTTATCACGTTGTTGGGACGTCTCAAATTGTTTCAAAGGATATACCGTACAGTGGATTGACTGTGTATTTTCTGGGTGATTTTATTATTAATATAATAATAATAATAATAAGTTGTATTATTAGTTTGTCCAGAGTCTTGGAATGACCAGGGTTCACCCATTGCTCCTAAAGTACCTGCGCCTGATCATTTTGGGGGTTTTCTTGCACCGTGAAGATTATTTGGCCGCAGTTATTTGTTAACAATCTGACAAAAAATCGAAGTGACATTTTTTAATAAAAAGAATAATAAAAAAATGTCAGTGAGCTCATCTCAGGCGAAATTAATGTCATTTTTCATTCCATTCGTCATAGTTTTTCTAAAAAAAGCACTGCGTTGAGGAATGAAACAGCCATTTACATTTAATGACTATTGTGTATCATTGTTTGACAATTTGTGGCAAAGAAAGGAGAGGGGGTGGTTTATTGGTTAGAGCACTCGCCTCGCAAACAAGAGGATCCAGGTTTGATTCCCGAGCAGGGAGAGACCTTAGGCAAGTTATCCTTACTCCACACGCCTCTGTTTACCTCGCAGTAACCAGGAACCTGATTGTTAGTCAATTGGCAGATAACTTTCCGAGGGTAATAATCCCTAAAAAAAAATGGGTCACCCAATCCATGTTTGTGGGACACTACTGCGCTCAATTGGCTGCTGTGTTTCACCCCAAAAAATACACAGTCACTACATTTTTCAATATATCCTGTGAAGCGCTTTGAGACATCTGAACGATGTGATAAGGCAATGTATCAAATACAAGGATTGTTTATTATTATAATAATGGTCAAAAACTAATAATCCTTGCATTTAGTATGATGCCTGTCACGTCGGGAGGACATCTCAAACAGTTTCACAGGATTTACTGTAAAGTGTGGTGACTGCGTGTTTTGCAAGCGAACACGGCCACCAATTTTGCTTACAGCGACGTCAAACAAACAGCCATGAAAAGAACAACCAATTTTCGTTTTATCTGGGGGGACTGTTGGCCAAGACACTGGGAGGCACTCCCTTTATTTTTCGAATTGTGCCAAAAGAGATCTTTTAATGTCCACCAGAACAGGCGGGACCTCGGTTTTAAACAACGACATTTCCGACAAGGCAACACACCCCTACTAGCCTAGAGTTCTAAGTCGTGACTTGGGGCTGGAAATCACTCAATATCTGACTGGAGGTGTGAGTGCTACCAAATGAGCCGGCCTGACACCAGAACAAGGGGCGGTAGCCTCAAGCCCAGGAGAGGGAAGATGAGCAGACAGTTCAGAAGTAATTATTTTACACAGAGAGCGGTGAATATGTGCAATTAGCCTCTCTGAGGAGGAGCTGGAAGCAGATTGTGTTGACGAATTCAAGAGGGAATTAGAGAGCTATTTGGCAAGGAATTCAATTGAGAAAAATGAGACGGAGAGAGGAGAAATGTCGCATTATTTTGGGGGGGACTGTTTGTCAGACATTGCTGTGCACAAATTGGCTGCCACGTTCATCCTACAAAGTACTCGGTGATTTACTTTTCAGTAAATCCTGTGAAGCACTTTGAGACCATTCCAGAACCTCATCAGGCACTCTGTCAAACACAAGGATATTATTATTACAATAATGTAGGTGGGAATTTATTGCAGACATTCGTACATGGAATTTACTTATAATTCAGAACAAGATGGGTTTATCAATGTGAGTTGGAAGCACATGAGGAGAGGCCAGTGTTGAGGAGGCTCAGCTTACATCACAAAGTGGGAAGCTGGTCTGTAATCACAATGCGATTCCCCCATTCATGCCTTGGTTCCTTAATTCATTTTTTCATTGGTTGGTTCATGCATTAACCCCTCTTGAGAGATTACTATCTATTTTTTGTTCAGCCGAGTGTCTGACACACACGGAAACCCATCACCATGCTTAAAGATATCCAAACCACGCTGAAGGTTCCATGCATCCCACCTTTATATGGATATTCCAGAGATGTTTGTTGGAATGCAATGCTCATTCTCTCTCTCTCTCTCTCTCTCTCTCTCTCTTCCTAGAGGGACACATCCTGTTTACCTAATTGGAAAGTATTAGAGCCAAGGCTTGGGGTCCGCAGAGTTTGTGTTAGGGTAACTGCTGGAGTCTCACCAGCTAAAACCATATAACTTTCCATCGATGGCGCTGTCTGGCAAGCTTTCCTGCTGCTTGTTCAGCTTGGACCACCCTCCCATTAGGGCTTTGGCTGCAGGGTTAACAGGAAATGAGTGGAAGGATTCCCTGCCCCCAGTGACTGGTCGGCTCTTCAAAGAACTGCTGATGAGCCAGGCTGGGCAGGGGGTACATTGGCAGTGCCCTGGGGTACCGCCTGGCTCAGAAACCGGACTAGAGACCATCACAGAGGGTTGGCATACATGTCACCTTGGAGCCAGTTTAGCTCCAAGGAGACCCCCACTTACCTCCCCCAAGAAGGCTAGTCCTCAATTCCAACAATGAGTGGGCAACGAGAAAAGAGAAAGGAACATTTAGAGTGGGGGGTTAGGGGTGGTGGGCACGGGAGCGGAGGGGGTAAGGGCGGGGTGGGGGGGAGGGGCAGGCGGTGATGGGGTTGGGGGTGTCTCAGCTAGAATCCACTATCTGTAAGTTACAGTTTGCAAACAATAACCAGGCAGAAGACTGTACTTGTGAGTCTGGACCTCGAGTGAATTCATGAAGCGGTGGTGCTGTTGTCAAAGGCAGTGCCTTCGTTAGTCAGACCACCCAAACGCTAATTTATATCTACTCCGTCACACATTAGCCATTCCTGATCAATTTGATTTGGCTTCTCATGAAAATGGAGCACCGTTGGCGTTACTAATTGTGTCGCTGGCACCGACCGAGAGCCTCTCTGTGGTGCTAGCACTGTCTGGCCCCTGACGTAGCTGGCATTTTAACTGTATCTGTCCTGGCCGCCAAATAAAATCGGTCACTCATTCCAAGACTGTCTGTGGGCTGCTGCCATGCAGAACTGGCTTCCACGTTTAGCCCACAAAACACACAGTCACTGCGCTCTACATTATATTCTGTGAAGCGTTTTGAGACATCTCAGTGAGGTGATAAGGCACTAAAATTAAATGCAAGGATTATTATTATTATTATTGAAATGAAGCGAGGTTTAACACCAGGTTTCCTAACTGCAGGGAAACTGCTTAGTAATAATCCTGGCATCTGAGATGTGTAGCCTTCCCACATTTCAAAGCGTTTCACACGATCTGTTAATATTTGTGCTCATTAATTCAGCAAATATAGCAGCTGAAGCTGTGCCTGGTTGCTGGATTCGGAAGAGGGCAGAATATTTACAAAGATTTTACAGTGAATTTACAGCGTGGAAACAGGCCACTCGTCCAACCAGCCTGTTTATACTCCACTTGAGTCTCGCACAATCTACCTGAGCCACCAAGGCACGTCACATCTAACAACGCCCGGTTCCTCAGCACCACACTGGGGTTTGAGCCCACACTGGGAGTTCAGGACCTACTCTGGGGATTGAACCCACTTCCCTACTGACCCAGAGCCAAGAGTCGGAGCACTTGACAGCACTCTCATTGCTGAGTTGGCAGGTTATGGGTTCATAACCTCCGCTTATGAAGCCCTTTGAGACGTCCCAATGATGTGGATAAGACGCTATATCAAATGCAAGGATTATTATGATTATTGTTATTATTAATAATATTATTATTATGGCAGCTGTTAGTCTCGGAGAGACCTGGTTAAATGTTTCTCTGTATGTTCCAGTCTTACATGGAGGATCATTTGAAGAACAAAAATCGTCTGGTGAAGGAATGGGAGGCACTGGACGCATATCAAGCGGAGCCCAACAACAGCAGCGTGGCTGAGAGGGAGGACAACACACACAAGAATAGGTCTCACCAGGTCCTGCCGTGTAAGTGTCTCTCTCGGTGAGATTGTAGCCTCTAAATGACAATATATTCAGAATATTTCCTAATGTGCAGCTGTCAGCCTGGATCAGTTGGTCGAGCTCTTGCCCCTGAGTTAAGCTTCCAGCTTGAAGGTTGCTATATAAATGCTCCTTTTTATTGTTGAATCCAAGCTTCCAGGAGAAAGAACAGCAACAACAAATTTATATTGATATGACAGGAAAACGTCCAAAGGCGCTGGAAGGTCAAGGGTCTCAGGGTCTGAGGGGGCGAGAGGGTGGGAGTGGGGGGGGGGGTAGGTAAAGAAAAGAGGGATAAAGTGAATAAAGGTAGGAAGTTTGTGCTGGGAAACTGATGTCTTCAAATGCTTCCTTCCCACAGATGATAACTCCAGAGTCACATTGAAAGCAGAGTCAAGTCTTTCAAACTCAGATTACGTCAATGCCAGCCCCATTGTAAGTACCTTCTCGGGTGTTTGTGTTTGTGACTGGACCCTTCACTGTATGCCTGGGGTCAGTCTGGAGCACTTGACAGCACTCTCATTGCTGAGTTGGCAGGTTATGGGTTCCCAGCCCATATTAAGACTTTTTTGGGGGTTAGCCGGGTATGGGACGCGTGTGAAAACCATCACCATGTTTAGGAATATCCAAACCAAGCTGAAAATTTGGCATATGCCATTCACACATATTGGAATGGAATCACTTTCTCTGAGAGGGAAACATCCTGCTTAACAAATTCTGGAGAGTATGAAGCACTGGTTGGCATGCTTCCTGCTGCTTGTCCAGCTAGGACCACAATTCCCGTTAGTTAGGGCTTTGGCTGCAGGGTTACAGGAGCCGAGTGAGAGGATTCTTTGCCACCCCCCCCCAGTGACTGGTCTAACCTTCCAGGTCCTGCCGATGAGCCAGGCTGCACTGTGCTGTCAATAGTCTTGTCATCATGGAGTACTGTGGACCTACCTGGCTCAGCAACCAGACTGCTGACACCTTTGTCTTTAGTAGTTCATCGGCTCATTCTTGGATCTAATTTTCACTTAAATATAAACCTCTCAAAGCGCTTCACATGATATACTGTAAAGTGTAGTGACTGTATATTCTGTGGGTGAAACGCGGCAGCCAATTGCGCACAACAGCGTCCCACAAACAGTCATGGATTGAGCGAGTGACTACGTGTTGGCCAGGACACCAGGAGAGAGAGAGAGAGAGAAACCCCCTTCTTTTTTCGCAGCGGGATCTTTAACACCCACCTGAACATGCAGACGGGACCTCGGTTTAACGTCTCATCTAAAGGTATCTCCAACAATGTGACCCCCACACCCCAGGCACTGCGCTGGAGCATCGGATAATGTGGGGCTCGAACCCACAACCTGCTGACGAGCTTCAGCTTTGCAGCAATTGCCAAAGACAAAAAGTACGTTTGCAGAACTTCAGGGATGATGTGCTGCCAGATTGCCGTTGTCGCTGTGCCAGGCTGCTGCCAACTTGGCCTGAAACCACGTGGTGTAACTGTCGATCCAAGACACCTTTTGTGTATAAGCAGCCAGTGGATTGTGTTGGTCTAAGTGGCATCTGGCTGCTGCTTGTCCACACAGAGGGACTCCAGGTATCTACAGTGACTCCCAACAGCATTGCTGAACCTTTGGATATTGCACCGTGACTGACCACTCACTGAGCACCTACATTTGATATCGCAGATTCACTTCGGGAGGACATTTCAAAGCATTTCGGAGGATTTTACTGTGAAGTGTAGTGACTGTGTATTTTGTAGGCAACCATGGCAGTCAATTTGCGCACAACAGTGACCCCAAAACAGCCGTGAGGTGAATGACCCATTTTATCTGGGGGCATTGAGACCAGAATAAACTCCAGTCTCTTTTCAAAGGGATCTTTAACATCCACTTGAATAGGCAGACGAAACTGGACCTCGATTTAACTCCATCCACAAGATGCCCCTCTCCCCCGATATTGCAGTGCACCCCTAGCACAGCACTGGAGTGGCCAGCCTAGACTGTGAGCACAATGTCGAACATGGGGCTTGAACCCACAATCTTCTGACTCAAGCGACAGAGAGAGAGAGTGCGACCACTGAGCCAGGCTGACAAACAGTACAGACACACGCAGCCCATTTGTCCCCATTGTGTCTGGGTTGGTGCCAACTCCCCCACCGGAGAGGAGAGGATCGAAATGTTGGGATTGTTCTCCCTGGAGCAGAGAAGGTTAAACAGCGATTACGAGGCATTATATTTATACTGAGCTTCGAGTCAGTAACAAGAGGACTATAAACAGAGGATTATCACCAGGAAAAAGAAGGGGGATTTAGGAAGAATATAATTTTGCACACAGGCGCAGGTTGGCAGGAGCCAAAGCTTGGGGAGTCAGTCCGCAGTGTGGTTTGGGTGCGCTGCTGGAATGTAACCAGCTAAATCAGCACAGCTTGTGACGACAACTATTGCTTGGCAAGCTTGCTGCTGCCTGTCCAGCTGGGACCACCCAGCATCACCCGACCCAGAAGCATTTTGGCTTCCAGTGTTAACGGGAGCTCAGGGGGGAGAACTGATAAAGCGCTACATCAAATGCAAGAGTTATTGCTATTATTATTATGATTATCACAACACTTTTCATGTCAGGAGGATGTCTCAAAGCACTTGACATTGCTGGTCGGGTACCCGTCCTGGGGTGGGGGCCGAGGTGGGTGGGGGTAGGGGGCAGGTGACCAAAAGTCGGAGGGACAGAGTTCCAGAGAGAAGGGGTAGAATGGCTCTCAATGGTGGGGCAGTTATGAGCAAAGCTACATGAAGCAGCTACTGAGTGAAGGTTCGGTGTGGTTGAAAGACGTCACAAGGTAGGGTTTTCACCCGATGTTAAGTCCTTTTATGTTTTTTTAACAATTTGAACAGATACAGGAGGTGACAATCGAGAGAAAGATTATTATTTCCTGGTTTTTGTTTAAAAGCAAAAATGGAAAAAAAAATGCGCTGTTTATTCAGCCAGAAGCGAGTGAGGGAAAGAAAGGCTTTAATTATAACACGAGACAGGCTAACAGCAAGGGACACAGTTGCGATAATTGCATCTGTCACATTTCTGCTGGCTCATTATTGCAGCGCAGCGAATCCAAGCAGCAATGAATGATATGCCGTGTGCTTTGCTGAATAGTCAGGTCATCAGTGAAAATGCTGGGATCTGCAGTCTCTCACTGGGGGGAGGGGGAAGAGAGAGCGAGACAGAGAGAGAGAGTGACAGCAAGGGAATGTCAAGTGCTATAAAGGCTTGTCCTGCTTTTCCAGCCCCTGGCATGGCTTGTAGGGCAATATTAACATGCTGCAGTCTGTTTTTAAGTAGAAATTGTTCTTGCGAGTGTAGGTAGCCGGCGAGTAAAGCATTAATAAGCTTTACATTTGATATCGCGCCTTTCACGTCAGGTGAACATCTCAGAGCAGGTCACAGGATACACTGTGAGGTGTAGTGACTGTGTATTTTGCAGGCTAATGCCTGATGTTGCAACCAAAGAGAAGAGAAAAGCTATCTGCCACTGTGTCAAATCCAGGAATCGGATTGGATTGCAACTCAAATAATTTCAACAACAACTTGTATTTATGTAGCGCTCTCGGCCCCGCGCTCCACTGTCCAGCTCTGAGGCGCTGTGAAAATGCAAGTTTTTGTTCTTTATATACAACTTGCGTTTGTCCCCCAAAATAACACAGTCACTCCACTTTCACAATATAACCTGTGAAGCGCTTTGAGACCTCTCAGCGACGTGATAAGGCTCTGTAACAAATGCAAAGGTTATTATTACTTTATTATTTAGCACCTTTGGGCAGGACAGTATCTCGGAGTGAGGGGCATCTCACCCGTGTCCTGGCCAACAAATTGACATCAGTCGGTTGGTCGGTCGGCCAGTCAGTGTGCTGTGAAGGGTGTGTGTGAAACGTGTGTGTGTGTGAAACATGTATGAAACTTGCGAGTGTGAAATGTGAAACGTGGTGTCTATCCAGCAGTGTTAAACAGGCTGCCTAACCAGGAAGTGACAGTATCTGCAGCTGTGTCTCAGTCGCTTGTTAATCCGAAAAGCCTCGCTAATGAAATGCAATTTTACGCCACATTTATTTCATTTTCTACACAATTTGACTCATTAATCCAATCGTCTCTGCTAATCCGGCAGCGTTTGCCAAGCTTTCAGAGCAAAGCCTACAACAGGAGACATACGTTATGTCTGTGACTTAACCCATCAAGAAAACAAACTGGTTGCCTTTCTCAGTGTCCTTAAACAGGGAACGTGACAGCAGTTTCCTCCGTTTCTCGCTTGTTCTGATGATCGGCTGAACAGGAGATCTGTGGAGTCCCTGTAGCTCAGTGGTCAGAGCTCTCACCTCGCAAGCGAGAGGACCGGGGTTCGATTCCCGGGCAGGTCAGGGCGAAACATTGGGCCAGTTTCCTCACTCCACACACACACACACACACGCCTCTGTTTACCAGCAGTCAGTAGGAACCCAGTTGTTAGTCGATCGGTGGATCTCTTTTCCGGGGGTAATAATTTATTTAAAAAAAATTGGTCACTTAATCCACGGCTGTTTGTGGGGACGCTGCTGTGCGCAATTGGCTGCCGCGTTTCACCCACAAAATACACAGTCAATTCACTTTACAGTGTATTCTCTGAAGCGCTTTGAGACGTCTAGAAGATGTGATAGGGCACTGTATCAAATGCAAGGAATATTATTATTATGTATTGCATTTATTCATGTTTATTCTTGCTTCACCTCTGTTGACTTCTCCCTTCTCTCCTCTCATAATCGCTCCCTCCACATTAACTCCGACACTCACCCCCTTGACCTGCTGATCACTTGGGGCCTCACCATCACTGATAAATCCATCATGCACCGTTATTTCATCTCCCTTAACTCCTCCATCCCACTCCCTGACTCCCAACCCACTATCTATCTCTTACCACCCCTGGAATAACTTTGCCCCCACTCCCTCTCCCTCGCATTAGAGTCATCTGAACTCCTGACCATCTGGGCTTCTTCCTGTAATGACCTTACCTCCTTGCTCATTCTCCCCCACAACTCCCTCCCCGCCACCGTCGATACCCGTCACCTCCCGCACTGTCTCCTGCCACAGCTCCCCCGAGTACACCAGCCACCTCTGCTCCCTCAAGTCACAGCTGGACACACCTGGCACAAATCCAACCTAATGGCTCACCGTCAGATCTGCTTGGACCACATCAAAACCTACCACTCCGCCCGCACCTCAGCCCACACCAGCTCCTACTCCCAGCTCTCCATGCTTCCCCCATCCTCTCCTCTACCTCCAAGTACTATTTGAAAAGAGAAGGGAGTTTTTCTCTCTCTCTCCCAGTGTCTTGGCTGACAATCCTCCAGATTAATTTGGTTAATCACTTTGTGGCTGTTTGTGGGACATTGCTGTGCGTACATTAACTGCTACGTCACCTCGAAAAGTACAGTCACTACACTTTAGAGTATATTCTGTGTAGCGCTTTGAAACAAGATCTGGGCAAGTTTCCTTACTCCACACGCCTAATAATAATCCCTCAAAAAAATAAAATAATAAATTGGTCATTTTCAATCCACGACTGTTTGTGGGACATTGCTGTGTGCAATTGGCTGTCGTGTTCGCCCACAAATATACAGTCAATTCACTTTACAGTATATTCTGTGAAGCGCTTTGGGACGTCTAGAAGACGTGAAAAGCACTATATCAAATGCAAGGATTATTATTATCCCAACGTGAAAGGTGTTAAATTAAATGTGAGGATTATTATTATTATTGTAAGAATTATTATCCTTTCAATCAATCCTTTCAATGTGTGGAACAGCAAGAATGGAAAAATGTATAAAAAGACTCACTTTAATTACGCAGCAAGAAATTATAGGTTTGGACAATGAGCTTATTCACAAACGTTCTGTGAGAATGTGCACTTCCCCCTTTTGTACTCTTCCCTTCCTTGAAAACATCCTAATTGCTAGCTACGTGGCATTCAAAAGGGAAAGGGGTTGCGTGAGGAGCCTTTTATTGCTATCTGCAAATTGCAGAGATGTAAATTGCAGTTCTGGTCTCCGTGCCTTACAGGAAACGTATTGTATCAGAGGGAGAGTTGCCAGGCTGTTAAATAATAATCCTTGTATTTTACATAGCGCCTTAGAAGGTGGTCAAAATGTCTCAACGAGCTTCACAAAGCTTACAGTAGCTGTATTTGTAAGCGAATGCAATTTGCACATAGCATTGCCTCCCACAGGATGTTTAATGTCTACCTGAACGGGTGGGAGCTCAGTTTAATGTCTCATCAGAATGACGGCACCTCCAACAATGCAGTGCAACCCAGCAGAGCACTGAGGTGTCAGCCGAGACCATGTGAGTTCATGCTCCTGATGTCGAACCCACAATGTAGAAACATAGGAATTGCTAGAGTGAAAAAAGACCAAGGTCCATCTTGTTCTCCTTCTACCTTCCTAGTAGTCACATAATAATAATAATAATAACAATAATTAATAATAATCCTTGCATCTGATCCAGTGCCTCATCACGTCTTCGAGACCGTCTCAAAGCACGTCACAGGATACACTGTAAAGTGGAGTGACTGTGTATTCTGACTCAGAAGAGAGAGTACTACCAACTGAATCAGGCTGACATAAAGAGATGAATGTTTGGGTTCCCAATCCAGACCCTGATGATAACTCCATGTTTCTTGTTTCTGTGTCTACAGATGGACCACGACCCCAGGAACCCAGCTTACATCGCAACCCAAGGTCCCCTTCCTGCCACCGTGGCAGATTTCTGGCAGGTGAGAGATCCAATCTGACCAAACATGTTTTTTTTGTTTTATTTAAGCAGGAAAACCAATTTATTTTACCAACAAAAGCCCGGCACCTCCGACAGCGAGACCCACCCCAGCACCGCCATAGAGCATGGAGCGGATTAAAGTCCTGATGTGAGGCTCCAACCCACCACCTTCTGACTCAACAAAAACAACAATCTTACATTTACGCCGGTGTTTCAAAACGCTACATAAAACCGTCCGGGACTCCGAGCTGGGGAGTTGGGCAACTGGGTGGGTGGGGGGGGGAGGGAGTGAAGGGAAATAGGAGACGAAAAGCATGTTTGGAGAGAAAGGATGTTGAAAATGTGGAGGGAGTGGGTGAGGGGGAGTGACCCCAGGAGGGAGTGGCAGAGAGCAAGGCGTACAGTGGCTGTAAGCTCGCCCATCAATTGGGGACGGGGGTCGGAGGGGGGGGGGTGGGCAGCGTTTGCCGATCGGAGGAAGCAGTCGAGGGGGAATAAGGTTGCAGAAGGTTCCAGAGTTAACGGAGGGAGAGAGAGAGAGAGAGAGACCATTCTATCCCAACAATCTATCTCTGGGATTTCCATGTGTAGGTGGGAGGTCTGGAATTTTCAGCTTGGGTTTGGAGACTCTTAAGCAACAGTGATGGTTTTCCACGTGTGTCAGACACCCGGCCGACCCCCCCCAAAAAGTATTTTGTTGTCCTAAATACATCAAAGTGCGAGTTTGGTGAGTTGAGACGAGATGAGCTGAGGTGAGAGTATTTTGCGTGGTGAATGTTACTGTGAGGTTGTGACTGAGTTCTGCTCTGCTCCCCCTCTCTGTCCACTCCCCCTCTCTCCCCCATCTCCGCCCCCCTCCCCCAACCCCTCCACCTCTCCCCGCAGATGGTTTGGGAGAACGGCTGTGTTGTTATTGTGATGCTCACACCCCTGATGGAGAACGGAGACCAACAGTGTCATCACTACTGGCCGGATGAGGGTTCTCAGCTCTATCACATCTACGAGGTACTGTCATAGCGGCTTGTTTGCTGAACGATATTTTGGGGGGAGGCAATGGTACATTTTTCCTCTCACACCTCCCCCCACCACCCCTTCCCCAAACCACCACCACTACACTTTACAGTGAATCTCTGTGAAGCGCTATCCTGCATGAGGGCACCGTGTAAATGCAAGTTATTGTTCTTGCCTTTTTTTCCGGGGGGGAAGAAATGAGATGTGATAGACACAAGCAGTGAAATTAGGACATAATTGTGCTCAAACCATTGGATAATTATTGATCAGCTCGACAGTGAACACCTTCAGCCACCTGCTCCTCCCCAGATCTTTGGGACCTTCTTCCTCAATCACTACAGCTCCAATAGTGTTTAAAACCCTCTTTAAAAAAATCTGATTACCTGTGGCTCTGGGTCAGCATTGTCTACAGATCACTCTCTACAGATCACTCTCTACAGACCACTGGCTATGGATCACTCTCTACAGAACATTCTCTACAGATCACTCTTTACAGGTCATTCTCTACAGATTGTTGGCTACAGATCACTCTCTACAGATCACTCTCTACAGATCACTCTCTACAGATCACTCTCTACAGATCATTGGCTGCAGATCATTTGCCAAAGATCATTCTCACAGATCACTGACTACCGATCATTCTCTCCAGATCACTAGCTACAGATCATCCTCTACAGATCATCCTCTACAGATCATCCTCTACAGATCATTCTCTACAGATCATCCTCTACAGATCACTCTCTACAGATCACTCTCTACAGATCACTCTCTACAGATCACTCTCTACAGATCACTGGCTACAGATCATCCTCTACAGATCACTCTACAGATTACTGGCTACAGATCATCCTCAACAGATCACTCTACAGATCGCTCTCTACAGATCACTGGCTACAGATTATTCTCTGCAGATCACTGGCTACAGATCATTCTCTACAGATCACTCTCTACAGATCACTCTCTACAGATCACTGGCTACAGATCACTCTCTACAGATCACTCTCTACAGATCATTGGCTACAGATCACTCTCTTCAGATCACTGACTACAGATCACTCTCTACAGATCATTCTCTACAGATCACACTCTACAGATCATTCTCTACAGATCATTCTGTAAAGATTACTCTCTACAGATCATTCTCTACAGATCACTCTCTACAGATCATTCTCTACAGATCACTGGATACAGATCATTCTCTACAGATCCCTGTCTACAGATCACTCTCTACAGATCACTCTGTACAGATCATTCTCTACAGATCACTCTCTACAAATCACTGGCTACAGATCACTGGATACAGATCACTCTCTACAGATCATTCTCTACAGATCACTCTCTACAAATCACTGGCTACAGATCACTGGCTACAGATCACTCTCTACACTAGTTTGGAAGATGAGATCAGATGGGATCAGATTCTTTATCCAAACCAATCTTTGATCTTGTGTGTTTTCAAGCGTAACACCCTGTTACACCCTAATACCGTGTTACACCCTAATAGCTTGTTACACCCTAATACACCCTAACCCTGTTATACCCTAATACACCCTAATACTTTGTCACACGCTAATACCCTGTTACACTGCTCGTGCTTATAGTCACTGAACTTGCCTTTTTTAATGTTGTTTTGTTCTGTCTCTCCCCTCCCACCCTCCCTCCCTCAAGGTGAATTTAGTCTCCGAGCACATCTGGTGTGAAGATTTCCTGGTGCGGAGTTTCTATCTTAAAAACCTTCAGACCAATGAGACTCGCACGGTGACACAGTTCCACTTCCTCAGTTGGCTGAACCAGAAGGTCCCGGCGTCCACCAGATCCTTGTTGGATTTCCGCAGGTACAGCAGCTGCTCAGTGGGCACTACCCTCCCTCCCCCTCCCCACCACACCCTCCCTCCCCCTCCCCCACCACACCCGCCCTCCCCCACCACACCCTCCCCACCACCCCCGGCCTCCCCCTCCCCACCACCCCCGGCCTCCCCATCCCCACCACCCCCGGCCTCCCCCTTCCCACCACACCCGCCCTCCCCCTCCCCACCCACACCCTCCCTCCACCCCATCCTCCTGATGTGAAAGGCGCTATACAAATGTAATTTTATTGTTGTTGTTACTCTGTGCTGTGTATTTCTTGCGGGGGGATGGGGCGGGGCTTATGGGCTGGGGCGATCGGATGGGGGAATGGGGCCGAGGGATGGGACGTGTTGGGGGGATGGGGCGGGGGGGGTGAGGGGGTGCGTTGGGGGAGTTGTTTAGTGAGGAGGACAGATTGGTTGAAACAAAAAGCTTGAATGGATTTAAGAGAAAAATTGTTGTTGATTTGAGGGGAGACGGGAATGGAGACCAGGGGTGGGGTTGGGGTGGGGATGAGGGGGGAGCGTGAGGATGGGGACATTCCCACCTTCACGCCCTGGTTTCTCTGGTGTATCCGTGTTGCTCTCAGCTAATTAGAGGGTGACCTGGGCCCCAGTAACACCGTGAGACTCGACCCACAGACACGTCCCTCCTGTGATCCCCAGAGCTCAGCACTGAACGCAACATCACTGGCCTGACTGAGCAGTGTGTCTGCGACGGTGCGAGGGAATATAAGCTGTCGGTGGGGAGAGGGGGCACGTGGGTGGGGAGGGGAATGAGGGGGTGGGGGTTGAAGGAAATTGATGGACAGCAAGAACGGAGCTGAATTTCCTTATAGCTGCAGAAACTTGGCAACGTGCAGTGAGCTAGATATCTTTATTCACTCACTCACTCACTCAGTCACTCGCTCACTCGTTCACTCACTCACTGACTCACTCGCTCACTGACTCACTCAGTCACTGACTCACTCGCTCACTCGCTCACTCGCTCACTCAGTCACTCACTCACTCGCTCACTCATTCACTGATTCGCTCGCTCACTCACTCACTCAGTCACTGACTCACTCGCTCACTCACTCAGTCACTGACTCTCTCACTCGCTCACTCACTCACTGACTCACTCACTCACTGGCTTACACACTCACTCGCTCGCTGACTCGCTCACTCGCTCACTCACTCGCTCACTCGCTCGCTGACTCACTCAGTCACTGATTCACTTGCTCACCCACTCACTCAGTCACTGACTCAGTCACTGACTCACTCACTCCGTCACTGACTCACTCACTCAGTCACTCACACACTCACTGTCACTCACTCAGTCACTAACTCAGTCACTCACTGACTCACTCATTCAGTCACTGACTCAGTCACTGACTAACTGACTCACTTACTCACTCACTCGCTCAGTCAAGTCACACACTCAGTCACTCGTTCATTCATTCATTCATTAACTCACTCAGTCACTGATTCACTTGCTCACCCACTCACTCAGTCACTGACTCAGTCACTCACACACTCACTGTCACTCACTCAGTCACTAACTCAGTCACTCACTGACTCACTCATTCAGTCACTGACTCAGTCACTGACTAACTCACTCACTCACTCAATCACTCACTCATTCATTCATTAACTCACTCAGTCACTCATTAATGTTGAGTCCTGTAGGAAGCAAAATTTACACTTTAAAAGGAGTTTGTGAGCAAAAACAATACTATTGTTGTGTCGAGTCCTCTTAAATTTGAACATTTGTGCTAAAACCTTACACCTGAGCTTGACGTTCCTTCTTACTGTGTGCCACGGAACTTACTGACTAACCGCTTTTTAAATGAACAAACTCTTGCTATGTTGCCAGCTAAACTAACAGTTGCCAGTGTCATTTTTGTGATGTTGCAGCTAGTAATATGATCTCAGTTGCATAGTCACAAAAGTGATTATTGGAAACTGTGTCTGCAGCAGGGACAGACAGTGTGGAAAAGGTCTCTTACCACCTTTGCTTGCTAACAGTTTGCATGATTTTTTTCCCCCTACCCCCTACCCCACTCCTTCCTCCTCTCCTCCACTACTCCTTCCCCTTCCCCACCACTCAACCCCTTTCCCTTTTCCCCCCACTTGCTTCCTCCCCGACTCCCTTGCCCCTTCCCACACTCCTCCCCCACTTCTCCCCACCCCCCCAACCCCCTCGATATCCCCTCCCCCTCTGAGCCGGAGGCTGGTTTGTATCACTAATTGCTATTTTCCCCATGACTTTGCCAGGGCGAGAACCAAACAAATGCTGCTGCACGTGTTTATATCCACACATATCTGTAGTTACGTATTCACTTAGAGATACACAGTCACTACACTAACAGGGTACAATCCTGTGAGGCGGTGCATCAAACGCAAGGCTCCTCCTTATTATTATTATACAAACGGACACAAAGAAATCTACAAGAACGCGACACAGAGATGCTCAGAGGCTTGTGTTGTTCCGCTGTCTCGAGCTAACACTGTGGATTTTGGGTGACTCTCACAGGCAGGGAGTTAAACCCGGTGTGTAAAGCCGTCAAGTCTTTCTCTTTCTGTTTCAGAAAAGTAAACAAGTGCTACAGGGGCCGCTCCTGTCCTATAATTGTCCACTGCAGGCAAGTCCAGCTCTGTGGGGCTGTGTTTCATTTTGTAAAAGCGCGTGTGTGCGTGTGCGATATTTGTGTGAGTGTGTGTTTGTTTGTGAATGAATGTGTGCATGTGTGTGAGTGTATGCATTTGTATGTGTATCTGTGTGTGTGTGCAGTGTGTGTGAACGTATATGTGTAAGCATATGTGTGTATGTGCGATGTGAGTGTGTGTATGCGGTGTGTGTGTGAGTGTGTGTTTATGTACATGTGAGGGAGTGTGTGAGTGAGTGTGCGCGCATATATGTGTGTGCGCATATATGTGTGTATGTGTGATGTGAGTGTGTGAGGGAGTGTGTGTGCATATATGTGTGTATGTGTGATGTGAGTGTGTGCATGTGAGTGTGTGAGGGAGTGTGCGCGGGTGATTGTGTGTGTGTGTGTGAGTGCGTGCTTATGGGAGTGTGTGAGTGAGTGTGCAAGTGTGAGTGTGTATGTGTGTGTGTGAGTACGTGTGAGTGTGTGTGTGCAGGAAGGGAGGTGAAGAGAAACAAGGCAGACCTACCCTACATGAGGAACAATACGTGACTCCTGTCTGCACAGTGCCATTGGGGGCCGGGGTCACCTCCGCAGGAGCTTGAGAAGCCAGTGACGGCTGCTCAACAAGTGCAATAAAGGAGAAAGAGAGCAAGAGAGAGAACGAGAGAGAGAGCGAGAGAGAGAACCGGGGGTGTGATGGAGGGCACTGAACAAGAAGGGATTAATAGCTATTGTTTCCCCCCACCCCCCCCTTGTTATTGACAGTGATGGAGCTGGACGCAGTGGGACCTACGTTCTGATTGACATGGTGCTGAATAGGATGGCAAAAGGTGAGAGCGCACCTTCTCCAGCTTTCGTGTGAGTGTGTGTGTGAGTTTGTGAGTGAGTGTCAGGCTGTGTGAGTGTGAGAGTGTGTGTGTGTGTGTGAGTGTGTCTGTGTGAGTGAGTATGTGTGTGTGTGTGAATGTGAGTGTGTGAGTGAATGTGTGTATGTGAGTGTGTGTGTACGAGTGAGTGTGTGAGTGAGTGTCTGGTTGTTCAGTTGCCATGGGTGACCGCAGACACTCACAATTCAAGAGTTGGCCTGCGAATGGGTTGGAGATAGATTATAACCTGATGGTGAATGGGGCCTCACTCTCTCTCGTTCTCTCTTGCTGTCTCTCGTTTTCTCTCGCTCTCCTTTATTTGCGCTCGACACAGAGGCTGTCGAGGGCCTTCGTTCATTCAAAAAAAAGAGAAAGAAAAGCATCTTGTGGGTTGTCACCGAGGTGCGAAAGCAATTAACAGCAAAGGTCCTTCCTGATATAACACAAGGTCCTGTTTGCACTGGGAACGTGAGAGATGCTTAAGGGAGTCAGTGGCCTGACATTGATTGCAGGATGTCACGTGGCTTGTATCATCTACAGGCACCTTGTCACCTTGTCAGCCTCAGAAACATGCAGGACTTTCTCTCTCACTATCTCCTGGCTCAGTCGGTAGAATCCTTGCCTCAGAGTCAGAAAGTTGTGGCATTTAAACGCACGGACCCTGTCTATGCCGACAGCAGTTCTGGGGATGACATTAAACCTCACTCCCCGTCTGCCTTTTCAGGTGGATGTTAAAGTTCCCGCAGCCTATTCCTAAAGAGAAGCAAGTTGTTCCATATTTCCTGGCCAAAAATCCCCAGATTAAAAAAAAGGGTTCATTTATTTCACGACTGTTTGTGGGACATTACTGTGTGCAAATTATCTGCCGTGTTTTCCTACAAATAATCACTACTTAAGACAGTATATTCTGTGAAACTCTTTGTGACATCTTGACATGGTGAGACCCTATATCAAATACAAGGATTATTATTATTATTATAAGATGATTTGAAAAGAGAAGGGGTTTTTCTCTGTGTTCTTGGTCAACAATCCCGCAGATAAAATTAGTCATTCAGTTCATGGCTGCGGGGAATTGCAATGCACAAATTAGCTGCAATGTTCACCTGCAAAATACAGTTGAGATCAATTATCTTTGAGGCCTGTTTTGATGTTGTAGCCACTGTATCAAACCCAGGGATTATTGTCTGGATGTCTGATTGATAACGTATTGATAGAGTGGAAGGGAACAACAGGGAACAACAGCACCAAATGTACATTTATATGGCTTCCCAAGACCCTGAAGGCTGCTATAGAGAACTTGGGGTTGTGAGGAATGGGAAGAAGGAAGATGGGCCTCTCTCTTTTGGGTATAAACTGAGTTGAAGGAGGTGCTGGTCCTGGCTGTGAAGACTGGACAAGAAATGCCATTTACTTTCAAATCCCATTGTACCAAACACAATGTCAGATTGCATTGCAAGCCTGGGGTTTAGTCTGGTGTATAATGCGGAGGAAGTCAAGTGAAACCTGCTGAGTAGCAGGGGAGGGAGGTTCCTGCATTCTGACCATCCCTCCCTCTCCCATGGTCTTTACTCCGCCTCCCCTCACCCCCTCTTCAGCCCTCCCTCCTCCCCCGCCCCCACTCTTCACCCCCCACCCTCCCTCGCCCTCCCCTCCCCCTATCTTTGCCTATAGTACGTGTTAATGTGAAATGCCCTGACCTGACAGTCCGCCTCCTGTTGAAGGGGGAGATCAAAGGGCAGAGTGGGGCGCAGCCTCCTGCTGAGCTGGGGCTTTCCCAGGCCATCACACTGAGAAGCAGCCAAAGACTTTGTTCTGAGAGATATTTAGCTTGGCTTCTGGGGCCAGAGCTCTCATTGTCTGGGCTGAGAAGTCTGTGAGCGCCCAAGAAAAGATCCAGTGTTCATCAACTGATCAAAGCACAGAATCACAGACCTCGAAAATCTCCTCTCACCGTGTCTTTTGAGCTCCACAGAATGTCCTTTACTTCCCCTCCTTCAGACGAGAGGTTAAAGCCCGAGGTCCCGTCTTGTCTGTTCAAGTGCACGTTAAACATCACGTGGCACAATTCGAATAGAGAAGAGATTTTCTCCCCCAAATATAAATGGTCATTCATGGATGTTTGTGGAGCACTCGCTCACAAGACACACACTTTACAGTAGGTTCTGTGAAGCTCCTGAGTCGCCTCAACGACATGATAAGGCGCTATATCAAATGCAAGAATTATTATTATATAATGCATAAATTGGCTCCCATTTTCACCTACAAAGTACACAGTTACTACACTTTATAATGAATCCTGGGAAATGCTTTGAGAAGTTTTGATGACGTGATAAAGTGTTATCAACAAATGCAAGGAATATTCAATTATTATTGTCTTAACATTCTTATGTATTATTGTAGTTTCCTTTAAAAGGCATAAAGCTTTAGCTAGGAATTTGTAACTAAACCCACTGTAGCACCACTGGACGTGAGACATGCTTCAATTTTCACTTAGGGATAGAAAGCAGAAGTTCAGTGCTTTTGTACATTTTGCGGGCTAATTATCAGTGAGCAGGACACAAAACAGCGACGATTGGGTTAAGTGTTCATCGTGTCCCTGGTGGAGCCAGCCATGGCCTGGAGAGCTCAGACGCTGTGTGGCTTGTAGTCACCCAGGGCTCTGGAGCAGTGAGAGCAAACTTGGTTTCAAATCGATCGGGACATCCTTTAGTTATGAGCAAAATTGTTTTTTTTGCTTTGCCCCTCAGTCAGGAACAGTGGCCATGCGTTCAAAAACTCAAACCAAAAACTAAACGCATCAAACTCCTCCAATGTGTTTCTGCTACCAGTGATCCCTGAAGCTAGAGGGGAGAGGAGGAGAGGAGGGGAGAGAAGGGGAGGGGAGAGGAGGAGGTGGGGTGAGGGAAGGTGACCCAAAGCACGATCAATGAGCTGTGTTTTCAAACGTGTCTTGATGGAGAAGGAACATGGGAGTGCGTCAGGGCCATGGCTGTTATCAGGAATGAGTGGATCCAGCCATAAATAGTCACTCAACCCACCACTGTTTGTGGGAACGCTGCTGTGCGTAATTCGCTGCCATGTTTTGCCCACAAAATATACAGTCAATTCACTTTACAGTGAATCCTATGAAGCGATTTGAGACGTCTCGAAGACGTGATGAGGCGCTGTATCAAATGCCAGGATTATTGTTATAAAAAGTGGGGGTAATTTTCACCCTAGATTACCAACGTGTGTGTGGGCAGCTTGTTAATGCCCGAGTGAAAGTGCTGAATCGGTCTCTCACCATCCCCTGACATTGCCAGCTGCCCGAGTGAGTGCGTGAGATTGTACAGTAACCAGGGTGTGTGAATGGTATCTTTACAGGTGCTAAGGAGATTGACATAGCAGCCACTCTGGAACACTTGAGAGACCAGAGACCGCAGATGGTTCAGACCAAGGTAAGCTGAGCTGAGCCTTGCCGGGCGCTCAGATCAACGAGAGGCAAGTTACCAGCCCCGAAGGTGTAGTGTGTAGCAGAGAGCTGTGGCTCGCAGCCCAGGAGCTCGCAGGTCCAGTCAGAGAAACCTGCAGCACAGAAGGAGACCAGCCATTCAGCCCGTCGAGCTCATGTGTTGTCTAGCAATTCCTATGGGTCTCAATCGTAACTAGGAACTAGTGCAGACTGGGTCACATCGCCTCCTTAACAGCCACACATTCATTTATTCCGAAGTGTGGCAAATTATACATCTCTTAATTACACAGCCTAAGGGGCAAGTCTGGGGAGAATCTGGGCCGTGACCGATCTAAACAAGCCTCGCGCTCCCAGGGCTGCACACAAATAAGGAATAAAAAAAACATTGTCTTCAAAGCCATCGGAATCCATGGATTCAATAATAGTCAGATTTGAAATGTCATTGATGTGAGCAATAGCTGTCTGGAGAGATATCACACAGTTACTAATACCTCCCGACATGGAGGACCTCACTTTATGCTTATTGGCCACAGAAGGTTTTTTTGGAGAGAGTTGGAAACAGCATCAGTAAAAAATATCCTTTCTCCATCACCACATTTCTTTTCCTCATTTCCTTTATGTTATATACAATGCTCCTGGGGGATGTGGTGGGGGGGGGGTGGGGGGAAGCGGGGTCTCCTTGGAGCTGAACTGGCCCCAAGGTGACATGCCTGGCAATGGAATGTGGGAATGGAGCCCCCTCTCTCGTGGTGGTCTCTAGTCCAGCTCCCGAGCCAGGAGGGGCCGCAGTATTCCAGGGCACTCACTGCTGATGGCAGCACAGCCCGGCCTGGCTCATCGGCAGGACCTGGAAGGGCCAACCAGTCACTGAGGGCAGAGGAATCCTCCCCCTCGGCTCATGTTAACCCCGCAGCCAAAGCCCTGACTAACTAACGGGGAGGCCGGTCCCAGCTGGACAAGCAGCAGGAAAGCTTGGCCAGACAGCATTCGCTCTCAATGGCAAACTGTATAGTTTTAGCTGTTAGACTCCAGCAGTTATCCCCAACACACACTGTGGGGTCCTCAAGCCTTGGCTCCTGCCGGCCTGCATTCCATTCCAGACCCAGGGGAAATGTCCGTGTGCAGCTGGCAAACTCTCTCTGGTTTAAATGCTGGATTCCCCCCAAACCATTGCAGAGAACAGATCCGTTTGCACCATGTCAGTCAGTCGGTCGGTGTGCGTGTGAGTAACTGGGTACCTGTTTGCTGACGGCTTTTCCGTTGATCTCCACAGGAGCAGTTTGAGTTTGCGTTGACAGCGGTGGCCGAGGAAGTGAATGCGATTCTCAAAGCCCTGCCACAGTGAGCGTCGCTCTCCCTCTCCCCCAACACCACCACACCCCCCCTCCACTCACACACCCCCCCACACACACAGAGGTGTTTATAATCCTGACATGAATGTCGTAGAAAATGTGATCTAACCTTGACTGTTGTAACAGCTTAGAAACCGTGTCTCTTCAACACCTGTAACCGACGGGGTCTGAGGTTAGAACCTTTTTAAAAACAAGGTTAACTCCTCTCTACAGGCAGAGCTGAACCGGTCTAACTTGAGGTATTTTCTAATTCGCCTCATCACGGAGTCCCTCTGACTCACTCACTCGCTCTCCCTCCCCTCATTCAAGTCCCATCACAAGAAGAACCTCTTTCACTCTCTGAGCTTTCGGTCACTTTTCCCCTAACCCCCCCCGCACTCCCCTCAGTCCCCAACCCCCAGCTGGGCTGCCCATCAAACAATGTCAGGTGCTTTGCGATGTCCTCCCGACACGAAAGGAGATTTATAAATGTAAATCGTACTGGATACAAAATAGTCAAATGAATGAAACCCAAATGTGCCGTCAAACATGTTTCCTCGGAGGGTTCAGTGCTTTAGAAATTTGAGAATGAAATCCGTTCTGAAATACTGCGAAGTTTACATCTCAAAGGTTAGCGAGTTAGAAGACACTTTCTCTCAGGAGATAAACAGCCCCGATATAAAACCTGGCATTCCACCCCCTTGGATGACACATGATAAAGACCTGTTTTCTTTAACCTTAAAATTTAACTTGATTCAAAATTGGCAAAAATCCCTTCAATTTCAATCTGAATTGAGAAGCCAGTTTTCCATGGTGAATAAAAAAAAAGTATCCAAATATAGGACTGAAATGTCCACAAGGAAAGTTGTAGAGGCCAGGACATTGGACTCACTTAATAATCAGCTTGATGGGAGGATCGTAGGGTGGGTGTTCTGAATGGATGGGCCAAAGGGCCTCCTTCTTAAAGTTGTTAAATTTCAAGACAAAATAGTCTTTTCGGTTAAGACGAGATGGAATTCCAGTTCTCACTTTTAGACGCTGACTACACACTTTTTATTCCAGCTTTTGCAATCATTTTTTTAAAAAAATTGCTTCTGTGTCTCCCGCCCCCACTCCCTTTCCACCGCTCAGCAAAACTTACAACCAACCAAACCCCCCCCCCCCCGCACACACACAAACAGAGGGACTCTCAATTCAAGTCAAGTTGCAAAGCATTAGATAGAAATCCTAAATGTTCGATTTCTTTGAATTCTGTAAAACTACTAAAATGTCTGTGGTTGAACTTGATGTTGACACACGCACATACACACACACCACGTACATATACACACACTCACACCACATACATACACACACACATCACACACGCACACCACATACACCATGTTCATATACACACGCGCACACCACCACACACACACGCACACCACACACACACACAGTAAAGTTATTATGATAGTTCTTTGTCTGTAAATAGTGCTGGTTACGTACGACTGATCTCAATATATACATCTTTTAAACGAAAAATATTTTAAATGTTTCAGCTTTTCACGAAAACTTTTAAGTCGTCAAAGTAGCCGAGTGTCTGTGCTCTCTGACCACTTGTGTTGTTAATTTACTTTAATCTCCTGGTTATTTTCTTGATAACGAGCTGTTTTGGGGGATTTGGTTCTGTTAGATTTCTTTGTGTTCGCTTCACGGTGATGGATTTTGTGGTATGTGTTGGCTATTTATATACGAGTGACCAAAATAATGCGGCTAACTGTGTGGCTATCAACACTTAACACTTTCACAACGTGCTTCTTTTAGTGTGATTTTATTTTTAAAAAAGTAGATTTCTTTTTCCTCCTGGGACTTCAGTTAACCCATTGATGTCTATAGATATTTTCTCTCTCTCTCACATATACATACTCTCGCTCTCATTCTCTTCCCCCACTCCCCGAACCAAACTTATCCACACTCCCCCCCCCCCCCCCCACCTCCGTCCTTAACTCAAAATAATTCAGGAACACCCGTCATAATGAAACGTTTCAGAGCTTTTTTTTAATTGAAAAGGGAAGAATTTCAACACTCGAACTTCTACTTAGTGAAGGTTTTTTTTGTGTGAAGGGGAGGAAGTGGGGGGTGGGGGGGGGGGGGAATAAAAAGAAAAAAGTAAACGGGGAGCAAATTCCGATGGGTGATGTGTTAATAACACTGTAAGATGTTTGACTGCAGCTGAGACCTGTTCTCTGTGTACCCACTGTCACCCCAAGACTCCATCTCAATGTGGGCTATTAGTGTTCGCTGCCTCACAGCATTGGAGTACCAGTCAGCGAGACACTGGGTTAACTAACTCAACAATAAACCCAGTAACTGTGATCTCCCTCTGACTCGCGCCCCAATATCACCTTCCTCAAGGGGTGGGCGAGTGGGGGAATTAACACTCCCAGCAGGTCCAGGTTTTGCCCACCACATTTGTCAACAGTGTGATAATTAGCAATTGGCACCTGGGAATTTCCAGATATTGCAGTGAAATATTCCTTGTTAATGTGTTTCACACAAAAATGCACCCCCCCCCCACCCACCCACACACACACACACCCTCACACAGTCCCACCACATATCCACACCCCACACACATCCACGCACACCCCCAACTCCAAAGAATACTCCACAACTCTGCAGAGATGCTACGTGTCGAATTCCAAGTGTTCAAATTCCCCCCCATCCCTAGCTCTGTGCCTCCTGCAATCCCTTAACCCCCCCCCCCTCCCTACAGCCAGCAAATATGGGCTGTGAATTCCTACACACCTGCGCCACCCCCCCACCCACCAACCTGCCCAACAGCGCGAACAAGCTGTCAATCATTCCCCCCCCCGCCGCCACGTCTGTGTTAACCCCTATTTCCCCACCTTTAAGGCCTCATCTTTATAGTCGATGGTGCTTTTTGTCATCTTTCTCCCCCACACCTCACTCCCGCCGGCTCTCAGAAGCGCTCTGAGACGCTACCCTGCATGAGGAGTGCTATATAAATGCAAGTTGTTGTTGTTCCCCTAATACCCCTAATATGTCAGAACAGGACAAGCCATGGGACTCACTGCCTCAGACCAGGTGGAATTTCAGGTCTCGGCTGTGTTTAACTTTGTAGAAACCTGCAGCTGTGATTTTCAACTTGAATTGAAGTCAGAGCCCAGGTGTCACTGAAGGAAATCTCGGGAGGATCTGATCTATATTATTCTCATATCGTGTCTCCCCCTAACGTACTTGGATGTTTTATACCAGCAAAAGCTCCTCCACCTATCTCAAGAACCTATGTGAGGGATTTTCATCTGTGTTGGGTTTTTTTTTGGATTTAAGGCATAATGCTGGTCATTCTTAAACCACTGTTCCTCTCACTTTCTCTCGTGTTAATTTATGGTTATTTCTCTCTCTCTGTATATATCAATAAAATATACAAAGTATTTTGTTCTACCTCTGTAAAAATTACTTACGAATAAAGCTGTATTGTTTGTGGAGTATTGTGGATAATGCAAGAGACAAGCTTTCGATTATTCAACTGTTTTGCACAAGTTGGCCTACAAAATACACAGTCACTACACGTTACACTGTAGCCTGCAAAACACTGAGACATTCCCTCTTTAATCATAATCCTTGCATTTGATACAGCGCCTTATCACGTCTCTTCAAGACGTCTCAAAGCGCTTCACAGAATGTACTGTAAAGTGTAGTGACTGTGTATTTGGTGGGCACACGTGTGTGAGAACTCATGGCACTGTCCAAAAAAGACGGGTATTATTGCTCCCCAGTAACAGAGCCAGTTCTCTGGTGGGGGGACTGGGGGTGAGGGTGGTAGTTGCTGACCAGACCTGAGGCACAGGCACAGGAGGTGTGGACTCTCAGAGAACCTTCCTCGATCAGCCTCAGCTCCCCCCCCCCTTCTCCTGCACTGCGATCTCTGCACGTGTTACCCTGCACATCAGCTTAACGTTTAGCCGTTTGTGCATCTGCCTCTGTACAGACCACAACTCAAACCGGTGGACAAACACCGAGCCAATTTCATCCTTCCCCACGTATCAACTCTTATCTTTGCAACTTACACCCATTGCAACCTTTATCCGTACATCAAATCAACTCATGGGCATCGACCCTATTGAACTTCTGTGCACATGCAATTCATCCTCTTTGCATAAACCGGGACTGTTCCACTGGGTTTATGCTGAAATACACTAACCTTAATGTGTCTTAAATCAAGTCCCCTATTATCAAGTGCACATTAGAGGCTGTATATGATACTCATTTAGCCTCTGTCAATGCACCAGTTCACTGTTTAAAGACAAGCTTTGGCTCTGATTAGACATTCTGGAATGATGATCGAGTTCAAACGGGCCAATGCTTGTGAATTATTTACCAGGAATGTGTGTGTGTAACAATAAAAGACTCTGCAGTTTGCATTTGCTGAGCGTGTGTGTTCCCCTGAGCTTATGATATATTATTTTTTAAGTGACACCATTTTCTATATTTTCTACATTTGGAATATGAGTGAATCAAAATAAATAGACTAACAAACAGCCAACTCACAGGAGGAGCTTTTATACCAGTGACAGAACCACATTGTTCCACATTGTTAGATCAGACAATTAATGTGCATGAATGAGAACAACAGCAACACATGACATTTACACACGGTGCCTTTCATGTCAGGAGGACGTTGTGATCAGGAGGGGTGGAGGGCGGAGAGGGTAGGGGTAGGAGGGTGACCAAAGGCGAGAATGAAGAGGAGGATTTTGAGATGGGCTTGAAGGCAAAAGGAGAGAGAGAGAGAGGCAGAGGGACTGTGGGAGGGAGATCCAACAATATCAGGTGTGGACATTATCAGTCGCTGCTGATTCCCCTCCAGCCCTATTTCCAATAAACTGCTGAGACTGACTGGTAGGGATGACTGGCTGTGATGTGAATAATGGCACCTTGGGTCAAACGACAGAATGGTCTCAAAAGATCTACAAGAAGAGGAGGGAAAACTGAAGGGGAGTTTGTGAAAACAAAGTGCTGTAAATTAATAAAAGTCTCATTTCTCAGGCTCTTCGCCCAGTGCTGTCAGACTGTCATCTAATCATGAAACCTCTCCACGTGGCTCAGTGAGACATTGTGTTTGCCTGAGGGTAATTCAACAGGATCGTGGCCTTCATTGTGAATCACCACAAAATCCTAAATGTTATCGGGGGAGATATCTACACTTCTCCTTGTGTCCCTGAGCTTTGCTTTTATTGCTGCACTTCAAGCTTTAAACCTGCTGGTGAGAGATAAGCTGAGAGTTCATACAGAGCTCATCCCCTCTGTCATTCTGATCGGAAGCACTGCCCCCGGCCTCAATAATAATAACAATAATAACAACAATAATAATAATAACAATAATAATCCTCGCATTAGATACAGGGTCTTATCATGTTGCTGAGACGTCTCAAAGCGCTTCACAGAATATACTGTGAAGTGTAGTGACTGTTTTGTGGGGAAAACGCAGCAGCCAATCGTGCACAACAAGTCCAACAGTCGTGGGTTGAGTGGTGGGGGGGGTGGGGGTGGGCCAGGAACATGGAGCAGGAAGGAGCCCACTGAGCATCTTGCTCTGAGCGCTAGTGCAGACTCAATGGACTGAGTGGCCTCCTCCTGTGCTGTAAATTTGTATGAAGGAGGCAAGATGGGGGGAGGAGAATTGTGTGTGGATGTGAAGAGCAGCAGGTTACAGGTCCCTGGGCAACATACCCCGGTTGAATAATCTATGATTGTAGATTCTATGAATAATCTAGGATTGATACTGAGCCCTGTCTCCGGAGAGGCCAAGGAACTCGCATTTCAATCAGCTGTAATTTGAGGCAGAATCTGAGTCTGTGACAGACGTAACATTTCCACGATTGGAATTGTGGATCAATTGGAATGGCAGGTCACTTGCTAAATAGTCATTAGTCTCTGACCATGTGTCGGTGGCAGATT